GTCCCCCAACCCCTCAGTAACATATTCCAAGCGGAATGGAGTCGGTTGGTGCATGCGTGTCCGTGCACCACCATTTTGTTCACCGGAAATTGGGAGAAATGAATCTTAAAAAATTAATAAAAAAAACCCTAATTAGTGCACCGTCACAATTTTTGTTGGAGAGGGTCCCCCAACCCCCTAGGCACATATTTCAAGTGGAATGGAGTCGATTGATGCATGCGTGTCCGTGCACCCCCACCGTATTCACCGGAAGTTACACAAAATGAATCTTGAAAAATTTATTAAAGATCCCCTAATTGGCGCGACGTCACAATTTTTGTTGGAGACTGTCCCCCAACCCCTCAGTAACATATTACAAGTGGAATGGAGTCGGTTGGTGCATGCGTGTCCGTGCACCACCATTTTGTTCACCGGAAGTTGGGAGAAATGAATCTTAAAAAATTAATTAAAAATACCGTAATAGGTGCACCGCGATAATTTTTGTTGGACAGGGTCCCCTAACACCTTAGGGACACATTAAAAATAAAATGACATCGATTGATGTATGCGTTTATTGCACCCCTATTGACCGCGTAAAAACTTATAAAAATAAAAAAAATATCATAAAATTCCTCCTCGAGAAATCATTCCCCACCCTCGTCACACATTAAGAAATAATAATAATAAAAAAAAATTGTTTGATTGTTTTTTATCATTTAATTTGTCTGGGAGGAGGTTTAAACTCGTGGCTACCGATGTAGCGTTGAGCGAGCGGCTACGGTGGGGACCGTACAGTCCGCCTCACAAACTATACCCATCTCCCGCTGAACTGCTCCCGCTAGCTTCAGCCTCATAGGTATTTCCATGCTCTTCCATACCAAAAACAAAATAATTTTTTTTTTCTTGATAATTGTATTAGTAGAAAAAAAATAGGACTGTGGGAAATTAGTTTCTAATGAGCTTCGAATTATCCGATAGTGAAAATCGGATTTGGCTCATTTTTACTTTATTTTTTTACCTGCTTGCGTTGAAGGAAGCTTCAATAGCCTCAATACCGGTTTTTCAAAAAATCCATTAGAAGGAAAATTTTCCGAAATGTAGAAAATTAGCTCTTAATAAGCTTTAAAATATCCGATATCAAAAATTGAATTATGTTTATTGTTACCGATTTTTCGTGCCAACTTGCAAAAAAGTTAACACCAATAAAAAATATAGCTTCTATTAGCTTTAAATGAGCTTTAAATTACTCAATAGTCAAAATTTGATTCCGCTATTTCTTCCTGCCAGATATACGTACGTTGAATTAAGGAACAAAAATATCTATAATAACAATAAGAATGAATAAAATTAAATTAATTTAATTGTGAAGACGGAAATGGAAAGACAATAAAATAAAATAACATAGTATAAATTAATCTGAAAAATCCAAAATAAATAAATATAAATAAATCTGTTTGCTAGTATACAGTAGTGTTCTGTTCTGATAGTATAAATTAATATGTTCGCTAGTAGTAGATGCGTAATGACGATCATAATTAATTTCTAATTTGTGACGGTGATAAATAAAACAAGTAAGAAATTGCTCTTGTCTACATATGATATAGTTATTTTTGCAAATGAATTAGCAATATGCTCCCGAATGATTATTTTACATGTTATTTATGCCATAGGTGCCCAGAATCACGCGATTCTAACCTCGCTTCGCTCGGTAGAATCGCGGATTCTGGGCCCTATGACATAAAATAGTATACGAAACTCGTCCATAATGGTGTTTTTTGACTCGTGGGATTGTAAAACTCGCCTTCGGCTCGTTTTTACAACTTCCCACGAGCCAAAAAACCCATTACGCACTTGTTGCGTAATATACTATTTCTTATGAGGCTGAAGTTAGCAGACGCACGCCCAGCAGAAGTTGCATTAGTTTTTGGGGCGGACTGTACGACCCGCACTCAGACGACCCATTACGAGGCTGGAAAATATAACTCCGGTTGGAGGCTGATTTTTGGGGTATGCAAAGGCAGCTATATTTTCCAGCCTCGTAATGGGTCGTCTGAGTGCGGGTCGTACAGTCCGCCCCAAAAATTAATGCAACTTCTGCTGGGCGTGCGTCTGCTAACTTCAGCCTCATATTTTCTTCTATGGTATATAATTCATTTTTGCATCCGAATGGAAGCTTTGTAATCGTCCGATTTTCACATTCTCTAATTTTCATTGGAAATGATGTAGAATGGTCTGAAACGTAAATATACGAAGTTTGGTGACCATGTCTGTATGTGAATTTGTCCACCGCCACCTTCCCGATTGTCAATTTTGATAAACCTGAGTAATTAAGTGGCTAAAATAATTTAAAAAAAAATTGAAATTTTGTCAGATTATAGGTCTTAATGAGGACTAATTCTGTGCACAATTTCAGCCCGATCGGTCAAGTAGTTTTTAAGATAAAGCGATTCGTTTTTAAATCGTTTTTCACGAATATCTTTAAAATTATTGAACTGATTTAGATTTTTTTGTTTCAATATATTCGTCTCGATGTCCTCTACCTAGATCAACAAAAACATATTTATATACCCGTCCATACAAAGTTTTTGAGATATTTCCCCTTTTCTGTTTTTTCATTAAAATCCTTGTATGCGCGCTAACGTGTGCAAAAATCGAGATATTAACTTCAAATTTGGACAGAATCTTCCTCCTGTGATAACGGTTCGTATTGAAGATGGACTCAATCGCACCAGTAGTTTCGGAGATATTCAACTTTTTTATGAAAATCTATTATGTTAAAGATCTTTGAAACTTCGCCACCGATTTCACTTTTTTTTTCAAAATATTCGTCTTGTACTCTACCTAGATCAATTAAAACATCTATACCTGTTCATACAAAGTATTCGAGATATTCCCCTTTTTCTGTTTTTTCATTAAAATTCTTGTTTCATTATAAATCTTATGCGCACGATAACTCAAGAAAAAATGAAGATAGCGACTTAAACTTTGGTATGCTTCCAGCTTTTATAATACAATAGGATAAAAGTTTCATATTTTGGATGGGCGCAATAGGCCGAGCGGTTCGGGAGATATTCAAGTTTTTGTATAAATTTATTTCCTTAAATATCTCATGAACTACTCAACGGATTTCAATTTTTTTTTCAAAATACTCGTCTCGGCGGCTACTATTTAAAACAATCAAAATATGTATCCCGTTCATACAAAGTTTCCCGTTCATCAAAATATGTATCCCGTTCATACAAAGTTTCCGAGATATTCCCGTTTTTCTTTTTTTTTTCATCCTTGTGCGCACGATAACTTGAGACAAAAAGACGATATCAAGTTGAAATTTGGTATGATTATATCTCTCATAATATTAAAGGTCCATATTTCGAATGGGTGCAATCGGCCCAGTAGTTTGGAAGATATTAATTTTTTTGTATAAATCCGTTTTATCAAAAGGTTAAATATAAATTTTTTTTTAATAAAATGATTTTATGCGTAGTAGAAAACATTGATGGTTTCTCATTCGATTTTCTTCTCGTCTTTTATGAAGAAAATGAATTGTTTGCAGACACTTTCGACAAATTGCCCAGGATATATAAAATTATTAATAGGCCCACTCATCAAGCAATCTCGAATCCAGCAATCTAATCTCTAATTTTCAAGGTTAAATTGTTTCAATATCAAGTGTTAGTTAATAATTTCCACATAGAAACAGAATTAATGTGGTTGCGTATGTATGCCTGTCTTAGGAACAGGGAAGTGGTACGGATTCATTCGGAAGCTTACTACCAATGGAATTGGTAGAAATAAAAGAAAGAAAAAGACTTATAAGACAAAAAGTAACGGTCGCATGCCTTCTGTCGAATAGGCTTGAACCCCTGCTTGTTTTTTTTTTGCTTCCGAATGGAAGCTTTCGTAATTGTCGATTTTTACTATCTTCCAATTTTGCTTGGAAATTATGTAGAATGTCATGAAACGTCAAGATATGATGTTTTTAGAAAATGTGTGTGAGTACGTCAGGCAGTTTCACAAATATAAAATCCTTTTAGATGTTGTGATGGAAATATGAAACAGTTATGTGCTTTAGAAGTAATCATCAACAACATAATTATGATTTCAGGTGATACGAGACTAGGGCTGATGTGGTCATGTATGACTCTGTACAACAGACCGCAGATATGCTACACCCCTGATCTACAACCAGAGTGGTTGATCGCCCTCGCCTGTATATTCGTAGGATGTATTTTAATAACTGTTACGATAATTTTGCTGGCGTGTTCTCACTGGGATAGACATGTTATTCCTTATGCGAGATGGGTCGGATTTACTGCGAGTAAGTTGATCGTCTTTATTAAAATTATTCGGAAAAAGGGTAACTTGAACAGCCACATCTTTTAAATAGTTTTATAACAATTGCCCTTGCTCTTTCGGGCAGAAAGTGGTAAATACAAGTTGGCAGGGACATATATACATTAATAGATTCTAAAAGTGTCACTGCAAATCGTTTGCTGATCAATGGTATACCAACACCACAAGCCTATCGATTAAATTCAAATATACGTAATTTATAAATTTTTTATATTTTCTTTTTGTCCTTATCGTGAGTACTGGGTCACGCCAAGAGTTGGTGAGAATTGAATTCTTCAACAACCGTTGGTTCCTTTAAGGATGTATAGCCAAAACCCACATTATTCATCATTATTTTGATGTTACCACTGCAGTCACAAGTCCTCCATTATTTATGAACATGTTTTTAAATTATTGTTTTTGAGATCGGAAAAGTACGCCATAACACTTCTAATTTGATGAGAAAAATAATTTGTAATATGAATCATTTTTTTAGTCGATTTTATCTTTCTTTTCCACTGAGTTGTCCACTTGATAGGTTAAACATCCTTAAAAACTTGGTTACCTCGTTGAGAGAAGAATTTTAATTCTTCACCATGAAGGTGTCGTAATAAAGGTGTCGTTTATTGTCGTAAGAAGACACGACGCAGTAGAAGAAGGAACACCTTATATCCATTGAAATTAGAAAAAACTGATGGATGTAATAAGAAAGGACCACAGCAATAGTGAACTCAAGATCCCATGACTTAGACGTTTTTGCACTAAAGTAGTAGATAGTACTTTTAAAGATATTCGAATTCTAAGCTTATACCAATCATCACCAAACCATTTTAAAGATGGTTTTGAATACTAGATGTGGAAGAAATGAATTTACCCGGCTAACTATATTTACTCGCAGAAAGTACTGATTACTTTTCCCCTGAAAGAGCAACTTTCCATCCTAGGACGGGAAGTACTCACTTTCCTCGCGTTCATCAGAGAGCAAAGTACGAACTTTCCGTGCTGGTGTGTGAAAATACTTCATTTTGTCATAACATCCGTAGGCAAGCGCGGCTTTGCGGCCGAAATGACAAAATCGATATTTCCAAAATATCAAAACTCTTGTTTATTATTTTTTCATTCTAGTGGTGCTCTTCTGCCTGGCAGCAGTGATATTCCCCATGGGTTTCCACGTTGATGAGATCGGAGGCCAGCCGTATCAGCTCCCCAACTCCCACCAAGTCGGAATTTCTTACATACTATTCGTCCTCGCACTCTGGATAACAGTCATATCCGAGTTATTCGCTGGGAAAGTGTGTTTGCCCCATTTCTAGCAGGACATCAGGTGTCCGAAGTTCTTCTACATCATCGGCATCCTCACTCCCTTTTGTGTCTTCTTGCTCCTGCAGAAAACCATTCTACTCTATTACTTGGGTGGATCGTCCGGGAAAAACGATTGGAGAGAGTCTGACAGCAGAGGGTCTTACTACTATTATTATGGGGGGATTTTTGGAAATAACGTGCCTCGATGAGGTGATTCTCCTCTTCATCGTCAATACGATTTATTTAAAGCAGTATGAACCCAATTCGATATTTAAGGGGAAGCCCTCTGACACTTGAATATCTGTGGTGACGTAATAAACCTATACAGTGATTTTTTATATATAACATCTAAAAAATTGTCCCTCGTCTTTCAGGGTAAATCTTTCGAGTTTTTACCGTGTAAATGATTTTATCGGTGGAAGGAATTATATCGAAGAGAGATAGAGAGAATTTAGGGGAAGTATAATCGAAAAAGGAAGTGAAATGTCTATCTCGATATTTACTTGTTGATCAATCGCTTATAGCTCGACAACTCGCATTCTTTCCTCCGAGCTGGCCCGGATAACATCTCTCAGTATATTTCTGAACTGTGGGATCCCAAATTTCTGAAGGTTCACGGACACTGATAGACTGATTCATTTATTCCAAACGAGATTCGTTAACTATTAACGAATGGTAGTGTTGAATATGACGAAATGAATATTCATTAGTAGTTAACGAATGGTTCCCTTGAAAAGTAAAAATCGAGTCGAATAAGGCCCCTCAAATGTGCGTTTGTTAACTACTAGATCTGTGCGCGCGCTTTCGCGCATGCTTATCTTTTTGTTGTGAAAATGAAGAAAACGAATTTATTAAACTTCTTTTACTCATAGATGTTATATAAATATTGATAATAACTTAAAGAGGATTAAGAGAATGAAGAGAATGAAGAGTGAAGCATCAATGAATAATTTTTAATCTTCGATTGATTCTTTTTTTTTACATTTTAAAATAATCTGATTAAAATCTGTAACTGTTGTAAAATCAGGGGAGGGTTATGAATTGATTTCCTAGAAAACTGAAAAAATTTCTTGAATTCTTCGGAAAATTTGACAATTTTCCAGATAACTGTAAATCACAGATTTTTCTCGAATTATTTGGGAAACCGAAGAATTTTCGTGAATTTTGTAGAGTTTAGAATTTATGTATGAAAATCTGAGAAACAAGAATTGATCATTTTGGCGTGTGATAAATATGAAAAAATTAATATTTGGGAAGTGAAGAATAATTTGTGAGTTGAAAAAATTTAGAAATACTATGTTTTTTTTTCTCATGATCAACAATTAGGCAATTTAGATATGTTTTGATATAAAGATAAACTTCACACATGAAAAAGTGAAAAATAAGACGCAGAAAAAATTTTTGCCATTTGAAGAATTTGAAAATACCGAGGATTTTATTCAGCAACTACTTCACGTGACTCATTGACCAATCAAAATTGAGGTTTAGGGGTCAGGCAGTTTCGAGATATTTCGATATAAAACAACTTCATGTTTCTTTCATCTTTAGTAAATAGGATTAACGGGTGAACATTTGGTGAGACCAAATAGATCCTCGTCTCCAACCAAATCCATTCATTAACAATAACTAATCCTTTCTATCAGTGAAGTACACGTGCAAAATACCTCATTTATACCATCAATCTGCAGCTGCCATATAGTTAGTTAGTTAGGTATGCAAGCGGAGGGGGCACTAGCCTCCTCGATGCCACCGGACTTTCTAAGTTATTGCAGCTTCGTCTTCACTGAGTAATGTTTTTTATATTTGAAACCCGGCTTTGGTGGCCTGTCTCAATATATCCACGACTTCGTTGCTTACGAGCTGATCTATTGTGGGGAAAGCGTTCTCTTTCGCTTCATTGCAAAATCTGCATAGATTGTTGTCGCTTATGCCCATCTTCTTGCAATGTGCCTTGAACCGTCCATGTTCAGTAACGAGTCTAATGGTTGTGCTCAATTTCCCTCTGGTCATGGTCAGTAATTGTTCAGCTCGTTTACTGTTGAGCCCAGGCATCATTGCTCTAGCTTTTTTACAAGCTGATATATTAAAGATGAGCAAAATATTTAAATATCCGTAAAAAAATATAAATTATTCTTCTGTCGGTAAATTTTCTAATAATTTTAAAGTCGATTCTTTGCAATAATTTTTAAAATCAAAATACTCGTACTAAATATGAAGATTATATGATAACCGTAGAAATCGTCTTTTTTAAAGATGTTCGTTAAACTCGAAAGAATGAAATTTCCATTGGATCATGAGAAAATCATTTTTTTCCCCAGTTTTCCCTTCTTGCTCAGTTTTTCATAAAGCATAAAAAAATATGGTTTTGAGTAATTGAAGATGGTAACAGTAAATAGAAGCTAATCAATCAGAAAAATATGTATACAAACTTCCTAACTACTGAAAATAATCCTTTTTTAGACGTTATTGAAAAGCGAGCAAAAAAGAGTTCTCATGATCTAAGTGAAAAAAAACATCTGAATCGAATGGAAATTGTAGTCCATGGAGCATTTCTACGGTAAAAACTCGAAAAATGAAGTCTTGAGGCAAAGTGAATGGAACATAATTTCTATTTCTCCAAATGTACCTTCATTTATCAGAAATCGCTCGATAGGTCTATTGAGTCACCACTGACTTTCCAGTTTCAGGCGCGCTTCCCCTCAACGATTAAAATTTGAAATTAATTTTCCATGGAAGTTATTAGTATTATTGATAATAATTAATTTAAAAGTTCCAAATAGGACAGTCTTATGAGAAAATGATCTTTCAATTTTAAAAAGATTAAAATCCTGAAAAAAATTGAGAAATAAATAAAAAGTCCAATATGAAATTAACGACAGTCTCAAACGTTCGTTATAAATACTGTTCTTCAGGGTCTCTCAAAATTGCGTGTCATGTAAATATGGCGACGTTTGGCTGTGCAATGGTCACACCATGGAGAGAAAAACACTTTCGAATATACAACGTTAACATTGACACAAAAAAATGTAGGCAATCAAGAGACTGTTACTAAAGAAAAATTTAATTTCTTGTACTCATTAAAGTGAAAATGCATATAAAAAATTATCCATGATAAATCATCATGTCTTGAGCATTTCAAATTTATTTTTCCACGTTAGGCTCATCGACTCAACTGGATGTTCATGCTACTTTAATGATCGCACAGACATCGTGAAAATATTCGTCTGTTGAACATCGGGGAGCACATTTGAATTTTTAACAATTTTACAGAATCCTAGTTTATCCGAATTGATTTATATATGTTGAGATTTTTCTTCTTTATACTGCGTTCATCCATATCAGCAATTTTCCAGTCGGTTATATATTTTAATTGTGTATATATATACATTTAATACAAGAATCGTCATGGTTTAATATAATTATATACTGACAAAACCTTAAATTCATGAATGAATCCATAAATTCCCTTCAAAGTATAATGTACTTTGTCGAGGTGATATCATTATCCTGATATGTTACTATTCGAATTCTCCGAAAAAAAAGCTGAACGGTGCATGAAGAGTTCATGTAAAAATTGGATTTTCACATTTGATATGAGATAATAATTCATGTTAATTAAATAAAGATGAAAGTAAATATTAGCGTATGAAGGGGAATTCGAATTAAGGAATTTATATGAATTTAACTCTCTGTATAAAATTTAATATTTAGGATCTACAATTGTTTTTTATCTGTAAATTTTATAATCAATGATGCACATAGTATTATTCACCCAATTAACTCGTCAGTAGGCGCACTATAAGCATTTCCCTCACGCAACGCTAGTCAACCTATAGGACCTCTGCAGTGTGAGTGAGATACTAAAAAGAGCGCGCCAACTGACCGATAAACTCTATTCTTGGCGATATGATTAGATAGTTCATGAGATGGAACCGTCGAAAATACTGAATCTCATTAGTTAGAAAAATTATTGAAATATAATTATTAATAGAGAGACGAATTAGTAACAGTATCTGTGCATGAATTTTTTTATCTAGTTCCACTTCGTAATTCATGGTCACCCATATTACAATATGATATTATGAATCTCTCGAAAATAGGCAGGATGTCCTCGTTCTATAAAGGATTCTATCAACGATTACATCATCAGATTTTTTAAAAATAATTTGTTATGACTAAGAGGAATTTACGAAGTCTATTATCATAGTTTATTCAGCTACTTGACGACTAAAAATTGGATGAAACCGAATTGGAAATGAATGAAGGTGAGAGAGGAATAATTTTCGAGAGTAAAAGTAAACGATGAATCCACGTCTGTGGATATTCCCAACAGAAAAATTGGGAATAGGTGAGTTAATATGAACGAAATACGCATAGTTATATGTAGAGTATTAGAATACTCCAGTCATCTTCATTTGGATATTTTCCGGAATTTATGTACGAAGTTTACAATAAAGAGGAATTACAAAATAATTTTGATTACAAGTTCTTGAATGATCATTATCTCAACCAAATAAGACGATTTGCATGAACCAATGTAGCTTTTTGAAAAACCGCAGGATTGCGCTCGGCCGATCTCTAGTTCTCCATCCTGTTCCTTATGCTCCTTCCTTGTTCCTTATATTTTTTATTGTGACTGGTTGATTTTTTCGTTAGTGGAGGCTTCGGTGACGAAAATGATCAAATCATAAAACATTATCGATTTAAAAAATGATTTGAATAACGAGTGAAATGAAACGAAGGAAAAATAGTTGTTTTTTTCATTCAATTTTTGATTAAAATTGCTTTTTTAAAAATATGCCATCGTAAAGTTGTATAATCTTCAATAGAAATGATCCAAAAAAACAATAGAATTATTTTATAGAATATTCACATAACTCCAATAGACTTATAGAGTTTGAATAGAAATTCAGTAAATTTTTTTTATGAAAGTACTAAATTTTTCTTGTGATTATTTTTAATTGACAAAATTTACAAATTGTTTTCTTTTTTCTATTTTTTTCTTTATTGTGTATTTGATTTTTGGTCAGTGGGGGAGACTTCGCCCCCCCCCCCCGGACCCTGACTTAAGTTTTAGATGTGGTGAGCGGTTAAGAATGTGCAAGGACTGCAGAGAACGTCCGGTGAGCAGTCGAATGAAAAGAAAAACGGAGGTTTTAAGGCACGAATAAAATTATTCGTGTTTGAAAAATTCTACAAATTAAGTTGTTCGTAACAGCGCACTGTCGTCAGTTGAATGAAAGTTGGAGGGGGATAGAGGACGGAAGTAGCGGCGGCGACGCAGAGTTGGAACCTGAATCTCTCTATGTAATAAAAAAATAAGGGAAAATTCAGGGGACCCAAAAATTCAAGCGATGCTTAATATAAGGGTCAGGGACAAGAGTCAAGAACAAGGGTCAGGAACAAGTGTCAAGAACAAGGGTCAGGGACAAGGGTCAGGAACAATAAGGGTCAGGGACAAGGGTTATGGGGATATAAGGGTCATAAATGTCATGGGCATGTGAGGTTCATAACGGTTACGGGGATATTAAGCGGCGGAACAACGGTTAAGATTAAGATTAAGACTAAGAGTCAAACAAGGTCGAATTAAGAGTCGAAACAAAAAAAGAAAGAAACTCATTATATTTTACTGAAAAGAATTATGATTATTTCAAATAATTGATTTTTCAGTTCTATAATTATTACATTTTATTATTATTATTATTGTCATTATTATTTTTATTATTATTATTATTACATATATATATATATATATATATACCTATATATACACTACTGTATATCGCCACTGTCCTTCTAACGGCAAATATTATTAAAAACTATCATTATATTTTACTGAAAAAAATTATTATTAT